GAATCAAAAAATAATCATAATGAACTTCATGAGACGAAGTCAATCATCTTCAATAGCATAGAAACATACAGAAACGTAAACCTCGAATACGATCAAACTTAACAAAGCTTCATTTACCTTCGAATCCAAAATTACAGATTTCCCGTGATTACAAAAACTCAAGGACCTTATGAGAGATTGAATCGATCAAATGAGTACGTGAAGAGCTCGAAACTGAAATTGAAATTCAAAATCGAAATCAAACAACGTCCTTGTAGAAGCAGCAGCCATGAGAGGACGGGATCGAGACGAACCGCGCCTTCGTTGGTTTGCTGTTTTTTGATCGGGTGATTGGTTATAAGGAAATTACGATATTACCCATTGAATAAACTTAGAGGAGAACGGTCCCGTAGGTGACAGTAGGGGTAATCTGGTAAATATGGAGGGTTCAATCCGGCCTAAAAGCAGCTAATTGTTTTTTTTCTAAGGAAGAAAAAGCTGTGACGCTTTGACATGCAGATCAATTGGTGACAACTTGTTGTCTTGTGGAGAGTTGTTAAAGGGTGAGATTTTGGGTTCGAGTAACGCCAAGCGCAAAAATAACCTATCGGTGGATGTTGAGGCAGTTTCCTCCCACGGTGAGAAGTTAGGGTTGGTGCGCTGTAGCGCTGTGAGCACGGGATCCGCAGGATGGGTTGTCACAAAATCATTCTGACATTTCTATAATTTCCAAACAATCCAGAAAAGCAATAACCTCTGTTTAAGATGGATATTACTATCTGATGCAGAGGAGAAAATGGCAGTCAACTTATTAACCAGAGTATCATCAATATTTGTTATAGAAATCGGTGAATCTGAGAGGCGCCAAACTTGTTGTGAGAAGAAACAAGAGAAAAAAACATGATCGCTTGATTCATTAGGATCACAACAACGTGGAAGGAAGGATCAACTGGAATATGTCGATGGCATAAATTTTCTTTTGACTGCTATGATCCTCGATCCTATTTTCCAGAAGAAATGTTTTAGTTTCAGAGGTACGGCGCCGCCCAAATCAATTTTGTTAATGTAGGTGAAGAAGCAAGTGGTAGAGGTACAACCTCTGTATCTTGAACTGAAGTTATATAATGATATCCCGACGTGACTAAGTAGTTCCCATCCGAAGTGTGAGGCCAAATAACTCCATCTTGGACTGGTTGGTAGGGAAGGAAAATTTTCTGGATGATAGGTATATGTCTTGAAATGTAGATGTAGGAATTTATAAACATTTTACTCTAGTTTAATTTCTTTTATTGATCTTAATAGTAAGTTTGTAGCCATCCATAAGAGCTCTGGTAACCTCTCTTAGCCTCCAAAGAGTTGTGTTTTTGAAAAATCTGTGTTTAGTTTAGGAATGTGTCTTGAAATGTTGATGTAAGAATTTATTAAAAAATTTACCCTATTTAGTTTCTTTTGTTGATCTTAATAGTAAGTTTGTAGCTTAGTTTTTATTACATTTAAGATATTGGTTGATATTTCGTCCTTGTTTGATTAAAACCTCTACCCTAACTCGAATCTTATACAATAAAGCTGAGTTTTCTCACTTCTTAAACTTCCACATCCGTATCAGAGGGTGGGGCAAAAAAAGACACGTCAACAATTAATAATTTAAATAAAACGGACAAAATTAAGTGTACGCATATCGGTTTGTATTAGGTTTCTTAGTCCAGTTTATTGTATAAGATGTTGGGCTGGGTGTGCTAACCAACTAAGTTACAGGCCCACTAATTTTTAGGTCATTTTTGGTTCTTCCCTAGGTCGGGAGTTCAGCTCCTCTGATTTGTACAACCGTAACCGCTCCGCTTTCCGTTAATTCCTTATTAACTCTCACCTTTTGATCCTTATCACAGTGAGAACCGTTTACTTGATCTCTTCGACTCCCACAGAAACTGTTAGGAGCTTAAACTCACATAGTCATTGTTTATGAAATTGTCTGAGAACTGTTTATTTATTTATTTTGAATTCATGCACAGATGTTTTTTGATTTATATAAAATAGTAGTTGTTGAATTTTCAAGAATTATCGAATTGATTCTCTGTTCTTACATGCTTCTTTTTGCAGTGACTATCTGTTCAAGCTATTGCTCATTGGTGTTTCTGGCGTTGTCAAATCATGCTTGCTTCTGAGATTTTCTGTAAGTTATTGCATCTCTCACTTTCTCTTATACTGGGACTCTATTACATGTTCATGTAGATATTCACACTGATGGACAGACGCACGGCAACGAAATCCCAGAAGAATTTTCACTATTAAGCAACAACGCTACCCTTTATACGCTGAACTTCATAAAATAATCAACAGCTGTAAACCACCGCCCGCCACTCCTTCACTCTCCTTCTGAAACGTAACAGTGCGTTGTAATGACAATTAATCAATTTATCTCACTATTTATTTTTATTTTGTTTTCAATGTCTTCTAGATCATTCGGAATGAGTATATATACAGAGCGTGTGAAATACCTTCCTGAATCACTTCGTCTTTATAAAACCATGGTTGACCTTATTTCTTGAAATTCCTCCGATAATGGCTAACTCCCACCTTCATTTCTGGTTTCCTTTTATTTAACTTGCTCACTTCTGATTCTCTTTTATTGATCGCAGACCATTCTCATTCTGGACCATGCAACAACTTCTAAAAGAAGGAGCTATGCATGAGCTCAGTCGCTTCGATGTTACAAGGATTAATCAAAACTTCAGACTCACCCGTTTTTATCAGATTCAATTATAAACACAATTTTTTAGATTCAAAAACCATCAACCCTATTCCTACTGAGGTGTTCAGGTTCCGCACCTACGAGAAGATGATGTTACTAGGATGGTAAGGTAAGCCATGCTCAACCTAAGTTCACTCTAACTTTAAACTGCAAAGAAGAAAAACCTTAAACCTAGAACCAGTTAACCAAATGTCAACTATATATATTATGCAGGTACTATGTGCAGCTGTCATTCTCAGATGTCTCAGAGTCTACCGTATTTGTGGCATTCGATGGTGAAATGACAAACTGACTAACGTTCATGCTGCATAGGTCCCACAAATTATAGTAGTCACAAAGCAAGCTAAACATACTGTAAAAGCTACCAAATCTTGTAACCATTTTTTACATGTGATGAAATAATAGATAACAATACAGCCCTTGGTTGCTTGAGTGTTTTTTTTTCTTTGGGTTTTTGGTTTCTTCTATATAATGAAGTTTCCAATATTGAACTACTCGAGGTGGAGAACAAGCTCTTGGCAGCGGACGACCCGTCTTCTTATGAGGCACCTCACTCTCATCATATATGAAAAGTGCAGCCAGAACTATAGTTGCAATGAACAAGGTAGTGATCACACTTTGCTTCACTTACTACTTTGATAATCCTGTCACTTCTTTTTTCACATCTTTAGAAAATGTCACCCACGAAACAAACTAACGTAATCAACGAATTCCAAAAACATTTCGCTCAATTGGATATGACGGTAACAAAAATTATATTCATTTCTAAGAGCATAATACTCTGAAATTCTGGTGTAGTCACAAATATTGATTGTGTCATGTTTCTTTTTAATGTATATATTTTAATATATTTTAAAAATAAGTTCAAAAATGAATGGAAAAAATAAAATAAATTTTAAATATCTTCATTTATTTGTTATATTTTTCTTAAAACACACAAGATAGTTAAAATCATTCAAATATATATTATTCTACAAAACTACGCGCCGGCAAACCACTAGTATAATATAATGTACAATGTTATGAAAGTAATGTCCGAGTTGAAAGACTAATTTGATTTCAAAGCATCTCTAATATTAAAAGAGAAGTAGCCAGTAGCAAATATCCCTAAGTTTTCTAACTTATTTACACTTCCATACCATTGAGAATTGAATTAAATTATCTATTTAATGCTTGTTTTTTCCAGCTAGATTAATGAGTTTTCCTTAAATAAATTTAAACATTAAATTAACCTAAATATACATTACATTTAACATAGAGACAATCTACCTACAAGCTTGTATCACAGTAAACATAGATTATGTGTGATAGTGCAAACAACATAACTTTACTATAAAAAATAATTATTAAAAGATGGCCTATTCTAATATATCCTGATTTTATATTAAACATTTAGTTAATATAAGTTTGTCTAAATTTATCATGCTGGTGGATATTATAATATGGGTTCTTAACACATATGTTTTTAACATATTATTGTTATATTAAACACTTCACAGAAAAATAAAATCGTTACAACATGGACTTTTATAATATGGGGTCTTAACATATTATTGTTACGGTCATTCAATAATTATCTTTACACAAAACAAATATCATAAATAATTTATCACTAATAAAATTATGAAATAATTTTAAATTTTATGACCAATTCATCGGTTGTTTTTATATGTTCAATTTGTTATAGAAGTTTAAAACCAATTTTATTTTCTTAAACATGTATAACTAAATTATAATATTTTATACCATACTAAGCCTTAATATAATATTTTTTTATATTTTACGTTCGTGACCATTGTTTTTATAAATCAAATAAAATTATCTATATACGTGTATATGATCAATTTGATTATATGATATCGAGTATTCCTAATAGAGAGTTTAAGACGCCAAAAAAATATTTACTTAGTGAATATAATACGATCAATTATTACAAATACATATAAAATAAATATCTAAAAGCGAAAATTTATGTACGCGCTGTTGAGGGTCTAGTTAAGTTTTATTCTGCATTATTCAAAGATTTACGCGTTAAGAAACCATGGTTGGACCTGGTGTACGTAATCTTGTGCGCTTCTATGCATTTGAGTTTTATTTTGGAATATTCATGATATATCGTTATATAAAATTATTTGAATTAGACTGCTTCAGGAAAGAACACGTTTCTAAAACAAAAGACAAGAAGTTTCTTAGAGCATCTCCAATGGTGTTACCTCCATTGGAGTCCTTAGCATTATTTTAGTTTTTTTTTTTAAATAGTTAAGGATCTTAATCAAAATGGATGATTGAGAGGATACGTGACACCGATGATGTCTTTCTCACGGATCTTTGATGGATCTGGAGGACCAGCCTGTAAAGTAAAATGGAGTGTTGGATCAAGACTCTGTTGCTAGAATGTAAAAAAAATGCATTATGCGTTTTACCTGCAAGACGAAGTGGTAGTTGCCAACATTAACAGGCCCTACAAACACACTCTCAAGAGTTTGATCATAAGTCTCATCTTCTGCTGAGCCTATGTACACAAGTTTCCATTCCAAATCTGCACCCAAAAAAAAAAGGAAAAGCAAACCTTGGGTCTGAGTTGGAAAAAAACTATTTTTCTTTTGTCTTTCTTACGAGAAGATGATCAATACTATCAAGGTAGATGGGTAGCTTCTACGACGTTATTGCAGAAGGATATCTTATCAAGTTATACTACATATATTCCAGGCAAATCCAAGATCCATGAATGCTTAAAAACTAATGTATCTATCTCTTTTCATCATGGTGTACAGAGGCAAAGTTCAAACACATTGGTTGCATCAAACTGTTTTAGTTAAACTACATTACCACTATCATGCGTCCATGGATTATTACTCTCCACCCAACCTCTAAATGCTATGTTATCTATAGTACGGTCAACAGCAGCTTGGGGTTTCCCCTCTTGATTATCTGAAGGAAGACCTGCAATATTGTATGGTCTTTTGAAAGGTTCAGGGAACTCATTCTCTGGACATTCACAGACAAATCACATAAACGACACATCCCAGCCAGAACGGGCAATCACACCACAGTTTGACCTGCTCCAAAGTAGATATATTTTTTTTAAAACAATGTTGGAGAGTAACATCAAAGAAAAAGAATCAGACCTTAAAGTAACGGAAGAAAGGAGTAGTGACGAGATCTTGAAGCAGAGGATTTAAAACCACACTGTTGAGATTGTCCACATTGTAATAAAGATGACGATTAACTATTATCAACACGAAACATGTAACTGAGATTCTTATTGTGCACATTCCGTTATCAGATTGAAGCAAAAGATGGAGAGAGTAATCACGAACCTGAAGTGAGCAGCTACAAGAATTACGATCGGTGTGAAGAAGAAACCGACATTAGAAGAGGTTTGAGAGCTAACAGCAACTGCTAATAAGACAACTGACCGTCACCTTTTCGCCTAGAGAGAGGTTTTTTTTTTATTTTGCTTGCGAGAATGAAAATTTTTTTTCTTCTCATTGCACCAACCCAACACAAGGCCAATCACACCCACCACGTCAGCAAGGATTGACCTCTTAAACCCCTTGAATAAGGATTAATCCTCAGCTTGCGAAATTAACATATTATTTTTTTATTCGATTTTGCCTAGATCAACGCGTTAAGGATTTCTCACCAGTCCGCGTTGTGGATGGTCTCAGAAGTTGCAAACTGGTAAATTTAAGATGGATTCATGGGCCAACACGTGTTCTCTTAAGCTGAGATATACCCACAATATGCATATTTATTTACTTTTCCACAACAAAACGACATTAGGGTTAGTCGTGCCTTTTGTCAAGCTTTATTACTCTTATTATGACAAGCTTAATGAAACGGTATTATTTTAAGTACTTCTGGATGACACACTAAATCCACCTTGACTACATCAGTAGTTTGAGTTTAGAGAAACGTATAAATATTGACGCGGTGACTTTGGGGTTAGGGCGAGTCTTGCATTTTGTCTGTAACAAATGACACGTTGACTTACCCACCACATCCGTATAAGTATGCTGGTTTTTTTAAATGTTAAATGTCAAATTTTGAGAAGGTGGAAGTTAGAACAATGTCCCTAAATAGTCAACAATTGTTCTCTTTTCTTGGTCCACTGAGCTTCTGTCTTTAAATCATATATGATGTCATAATCTTCCTTCTAGTTCGAGTTGTCGAAAATGACAAATCATGTGGAATTAAACAAAAAAATAGGAAAGAAAGATACAACTTGAGTAATTGAGTTATTCATTGCGCCTTTTTTCAGCTGGGCATTTTTTATTTTAAGTTTTGTTTGTCAAAAGTTTATCTAGTGACAAATCGTGGTCCTAGTTTCATGCTTAAATATCAAGAAAGAATGTATATGAATTCATATCCAAGAAAGCATATGATAGCTAGCATTTGCAAGAGGAGAAACATATTCATAAGTTTAGCATGTATTCTTTTCTTGTTATTTTCTTATGATCAAGAATCTTTTACTTGTTATTTGGTATAAATACATCGATCATCGTGCTCAACATTATCACAAACATTTATCACCATGATTAGAATAAAACTACCAACTCACAAACACCCTTTATACCCTACTCCTTGGGTTCGCATTTGCGACGGCTGCTATCGAGAAGGTGGTTACAAAAAAGATGGCTATCGTTGCTACGAATGTAGAATCTATTTTCATAAAGAATGTGCAGAGTCATCTTTAGAGATCAACCATCCATCTCATCCTGAACATCCTCTCCACCTTTACATTATCGCGAAGAAGTATTCCGAAGTTCGAAACTGTAAGTTGTGTGGGGAAAAATTGTATCATATATTTTATCATTGTCCTTTATGTGAATTTGTTGTTGATACGGCATGTATAAAAAATCAACCACCATATCTAATTGAACATCCCAAAGCCCACAAACACTCTCTTGTCCACCTGAAAAACGTTAAAACTGACAGATGTGACTTTTGTGGATATATATTTTTTAGTAGGTATCTTTACAAATGTTTTCAATGTCAACTGAAGTTCCACTTTGAATGTTTAAACCTTCCTCTAGAGATAACTCATCCATGTCATCCTAAACACCCTCTTAAGTTCCTTACACGTGAAGAGCATTATTTCCTTGATGGGAAATGTTGTATATGTGGAGACGAATTATGGCGAAGATTTTATCATTGTTCAATCTGTAAATTTAGTGTGGATTTAGCTTGTGTAAGGAATCCACCACCACTTACAATCTTATTTGCAAAGACTCATGACCATAAAATCAGTCTTATGCCAAGGATCATCTCTTTCAACTGTGATGTTTGTGGGATGAATGGTGACCGAAGTCCTTATTCATGCCAACGATGTGACTTCATGATCCATCAGAGTTGTATTGACTTACCAGAGATCATCAATGTTAACCGTCACGAGCATCGTGTTTCTAGGCGTCTACATCTTTATCCTGGGAATTGGATATGTGGAGTTTGTTACAAAAAGGTAGATTGGTCCTATGGGGCATATTCTTGCTCAATTTGTCCTAATTATGCCATTCATTCTACGTGTGCAATAGAAGATGAGGTTTGGGACAAGTTAGAACTCAAAGGGACACCAGAAGAAGTTCAAGAAATCAAACCATTTAAGGTGATTGGTGAAAACTTAATACACCATTTTAGTCACGAGGAACATTATCTACAACTCAACGAGGAACAAATCAAAGGCGATGGAAACGTTCGTTGTGAAGCATGTGTCTTACCCATAAATTATCAAGCATTCTACAGTTGTGTGCAATGCGATTTCATTCTCCACAAAACATGTGCTAATCTTCCTAGGAAGAAACGACATATGTATAATGATAAGCCATTCATTTTAAAGAGTGGTGGCATGACACAATTTAATTGTTCGGCATGCTATAACTGGTTCAGTGGTTTCAGGTATCGTACTGAAAGTTTCAATATAGATGTAAAATGTAGTGAACTTTCTGAACCTATATTCCACGAAAGTCATGGATGTCCCTTGTACTACATTCACCGGAACCAGGAGGATTGCATTGCTTGCGGCAGGAGGTGTAAATCAACATTTAAATGCAATGACTGTAAATTTGTACTAGGTACCAAATGTGTTGTTTTGCCAAAAACAACGAAACATTGGTATGACGAACATATACTCTCTTTATGCTATGACAATCATACAAAAGGAGAACTTTGCTGTGATGTATGCGAGGAAAGTATAGAAAAATATTGGTTCTACAAATGTGACATATGTTGTGTAGCTTTTCATACCAAGTGTGTTCTCGGCGATTTATCACTTCTCATGCCTGGACGAAGCATAATCACTTACTATGATGAATTGAGGATTGAAGTGATGCAAACAAGTCCTAGTTTCTTACCACGGTGCTATTATTGTCGCTCTCGACGAGCAGTTCCCTTTGTTCTAAGAGCTTTTTATCCTAAACAAACTGTATTAGTTTGTTCTTCACAGTGTTTTCTCTACAACCATTTGGGTACTGATCATTACATATTTAAAGAAGGACTAGTACTCTTTGGGTAATGACATTTATTAAATACAAAATTGTAATAAGAACTCTAGACATGGTCAACAAAGACCTTGATTTATATTAAAAAAACATTAACTTACTTTCAATTTGTTTATAGTAGATGTGATTTTTTTGTCCACATATGTTTGAAATATAATTTTCAAAATAAAAGTAGTACAGTTTAATACACCACCTACAGTTAGCTATACTGCGTTTAAGTGAACATTTTATAAATATTGTAGGTTTTATTACGGGGCCTACATTTAATTTTTAACCAATTTTTGATTAAGTTAACACTTAGCAGTTGACCGCATGCATGTTCAAAGGTAGCTTCAAAATCATACCATAAAAAAGGCTTATTGTTTCTGTGTGTTGTCGAATGTTAAAAATACGTTACCAGATAGATGAGTTCTTATACGTTTGAAACAGCCAAGAATACGCAAACTGACAAAAGTGATGAGGGCGAGTGTACACAAGGTGAAGATCAAAATCCAAAACGAAGATACATCTTGCTTGAACTTAATGAAGGAACTGCAGCTCGCCGTAAACGAAGATATATATATATATATATATGGTTAACATTATTGAAAAGTTAGACATGAAAATCTATACTATTATTTGCGAAGTGATTTTTCGCAACGGCGCTCTCAAGTTAAAAGTTAGAGCGGTTAATATCTATTTTACCCTTCATGAAATTTTTATATAAATCAGCCAAAAATAAAAACGAATCTATACTATTATTTGCGAAGTGATTTTTCGTAACGGAGCTCTCACGTTAAAATTTGGAGCGGTTAATATCTATTTTACCCTTAATGAATTTTTTATATAAATCAGCCAAAAAT